CATCACCGACTTTCCCAAAAGATGAAACAGACCACACTGGATGTTGGCTTCAGGTCATATCATTATTAAGTAAACTTTCGTTAGAAGATACATATTTTCAGTAATATATCCACTCTTATTGTGGGAGAAAACCGGAGTACCCGGAGAAAACCCACGTACACGGGCAGGTGACCCCAACCTTTTCACGTCCGATCGGGGAATCGAACCCCGGCCGCCTTGGTGAAAAGCAAGTGCGCTATCCTCTGCACCACCCGACCACCCGACTGATATACTTACATAAGGATAATAGTATCACTGCGTTAGTTAAGATCGCGAAGAAAAGTCCCACTTATTTTTCTATTTTTTTTTATTTCAGTATTCTCCCTTATAACCATTACGTTGTACATGCGGGTAGACCTTATTTCTTGTCGATGTATTTATAACTATAGTTCAAACGAAAATATATATATATGAAATACTTTTCCTATTTTTATACATAGAAAATTCAAGTGAAGACGGTGAAAGGCTAATCCTTGGGTGTATAAGAAGTATGGCCCTGATATAGCTATTTAAGTCGAGCATGAACAACCACGTACTTATGTATTGCCTGGTATATTTGAACTAGATAAACAAAAAAACATGTGACCGTTTTTGATTTTGAACTAATGCGCATTGATATTGGAACAATTCACACTTTACATTTTGTCAGCTATAGCGTGTACGGACCGACAACCTTTCTCTACAGTGAGAGCAATGTCAACACGGAGGGCCTTGTCTGCCGGCTTTATTTACTTTAATCATCGCTGTGGTAGTTATTGAACATTGGACTACTTAACACGGATTGTTATTTATAGAATATCGAAGAAAGTAGTTTTTACGGGTACAACGTGCACATTGTCATTAGAACCAACAGTATATGACGTCATACATCACGTGACCGTTTTTGATTTTGACCTTTGAGCATTGCGTAATTTAGCCACTGTTCTAATGGTCCAATAAATACTGTGATTTATAATAATTATAAATTATGTCCTCGACTAGCTTCTGTATAGGAATGCGTTTATACGACGCTATTATGTTTAAGTCACAATCACCCTAAGGTTTTATGGTACCTGTTTCCCCGCGTGGTACATAGCGTCTCGCTGTCCGTTCGTAAATAATACAGATTTTGTGTCAAAGAGTAAAATGAGCAATACAATGTTTGTATCTTGAGTGATCAAAGAAAACTCGTGCTTTCGGACATTGAGATCCGACAGTTAATACAACATTATAAAAAGCTATACACTGGTTTTTTTTTTACAGTTATACAATGTTTGAATAATTGATACAATGAGATAATACAATATTATAAACGTGTATACACTGTTTTTAAAGTTATACAATGTTCTGTTTGACATGACAGTTAATACAATACTAAAAACGTGTATACAATTGTGTTACAGTTATAGTACAACGTATATATATATACAATTAGTACTAATATTAATACCCGGCCTCCTCTGCCCCGACCGGGTATTAAATCGATCCCATGCCTTGTAATGGAGCAAGCCCGGTGTGAATCACACCGGGGCGATTTTAGAATTAATTGACAGCACATTGGTCCGCATCCATAAATAAGGTTGTAGTATGAACTATTTCTGTTGATATCCTGCACAATTTGAAGTTTACCTCTGCCTAAAATGTCGTTAAATTATCAAGTTCACGTAGCAAGCGTAATCAAAATCTGAATTGACCGCCGTGTTGGAAAGTTCGTCTCTCTTCCGATATAGGTCAGATGTCCAAATATGGGTGTCATGACCCAATATGGAAATTGTAGTAAACATGGCGGCCTCAGTAGTAATACTTTATTTGGCCATGCAGGCCATATATGGAAAGGATAATTGAGATAACATCACGCGTGATCTGTCATGGCGGTCGTTTCTATTTTTTTACCCCAAGACTGACTTTGTTAATTTCGTAAAAGTGTTTTTTGCATGGGTAAGGATTCGTTTTTTTCAACAATTATGCAATATTTTGATAATATTATACTCATACGAGGCTTGAATTATATGCAATCTTACAGATTAACACTTTTGATTTTGCTCCATTAGTTGGCATAGGACCGCTTCGTAGCTCTGACGACGCAATATATAAAAACATTCTCTCGTCGTCAGAAAGCTACGTTATCGCAGCTAATATACAATGTCATGCTTGTTTTAATAGTGTTAAACCGTTCATGCAATTTCCCTGTCATAATGTTTTCCAAATGTTTATTCAATGTTATGATTTCTTATCCAGTGGTCTTTTTGATGAATGTAATTCGTGTATTATTCATTTTCTTCGCTTTATATCAAGATCAGAAACAATATCAAAGTTCACTATCTTTAAAATAAAATATAAAATAATATAGGTGATAAATTGTCGGATATGACTGTTTTAACATAAGAAAACTGTTAGCTTCACAACTGTATAGATATATCAGAAAAGGAAATTTCGAAACGAGAATGGAAAAATTTCTCCGCGGAAGTGATAGAACAGATCGTTGGAAAAGAACTTGATTGTATTTCACAATAAAACGATCCTATTGGAAATGAAAGAAGGGGCATACCCTTCACAGCTGAATGCATACTTACATATGTACATACACCTGTACAGGTAGAGCTCCGGATTGTATTACACTTATATGTTGTACCTCAGCAAATGTTACTGTCTTAAATTCAGGTTACAATTTGACAGAAACAAACCTATCTATTACTGGGAAAACTACATTAAATAGGGCATTTCGCAACCGTTACCATGTTCACGTTGTGTTGATAAACAGCGCGTATCGACATTTTGAAATACACCGTCCACGTGATAATGTACATGTCTGTTCATTCATAAAGTCGGACGTACTACAGGTAAACCCCCACAACGAGGTAGTCGTGTGGAGAAGGAATACAGTGCTAAGGTCGGAATATTTCTCAAACGGATTCTTTTTTCCAATTATCATAAAATCGGGACTTTCATTAAGGTAGGTTGTGTTAACGTTGGATTTGTATGTTTTATGTGTCAAATCAATTAAATTATTGCCGGATTAGAATCACCAAATTATGTAAAACAAATAACTACAATATACGTCCATAGAGACGGGAACAATACTGCTGGGTTTTTTCGGAATAACTGTCGTGTGAGATATGTAGTCGGAAAACCTGCCGTGTGACATTTCAGGAAATCTGGGGAAGCCCCGCCCCTCTCGGCTGAATCAGTTGTCTTGGTCTCGGTCGTTAAAGGACGGAGTGGTTAAGGAGGTTTTTTTTGTATTGATTTGTCTATGTCAAGGGACATGTCGTCAGGAATTTGTCATGTCGTCAGGAATATGTCCTTAATACCGAAGTTCTCTTACAGTTTTAAAATTTTAAGCATGACAGGTTTCGGAGGGGGAAGTGTTTCTGCCTCCCTCTATATATAGGCTTCGGCCACAGGTACATGGTAATTTGTTACAGCTATATATAATTAGCCCTAAACTAAGTTGTTCAGAGGAATTGTACATGTTTTAGTGGTTTATATCGACTGTTGATAAAAATGCCATCCACAATTATAATGTACGCGAGGAAAAATATTTTTAATGCAGAAAAGTTAGTTGTGGTAGATTTGTCGACACCTCCACCCTATACGTACATGTATATATAATCATTGGGGAGTTTTTGTGTTTGTTTTTGTTATCAAAAGTCGATGTAAACACCTGAAACATGTAAAATTACTCTAAAAACTTAATTTAGGACCAATTATAGCTGGAATCAATTACGAGGTCCCTGTGACTACGGCCATGAAAAGGAGGTGAAAATCGTTTGCCTCGTTCCCTTGGTGAAGGGTACAAAAGTCCGAGTATATGGTTTCGTTTTTAGCGCAGAATATTATTCGTTCATATGAGCATTCCTCCATACAAATAAGATGACCTGGCATTTAACATACAGTACATGAACGAAGGCCCTATAACCACGGATAATAATGTGTGAACCGCTTTGAGACGACCTACGAATTCAAACTAGTTTGTGATGAAGCGGTATATAAAAACCTCGAATTAATTATTATTATTATAACATACCACGCTGTATGTACTTACATGTGTGTAGGTGTGTGTGTGTGTGTGTGTGTGTTGAATATGAAATTGTTAACTATGTATGGGGTATAAACACTATAATTTGTATCATTGTATACACCTATGTTCTGTTCACCCGGGGTTTGATTACAGCCTTCCCTGGACTGGACCTGCTCTATAAAGATTGTTTGAACCTCCGAATGTCGGTTACTGGGAGGTAGTTAAGGAATTATGTCAGTATTTTGTCTGAATGAATCAAGAGTTATACAATGTAATCTGCATATTTTCAACAGACAACCCATTTACTAAAAGTTTGTGTAAAGCGTAGAATCATCCACACTCGAGACGTTTTACCGACATTGAATCACAGTTTATAGATATGTGACGTCACTTCACGTGATATGGATTATCTGTAGTATTAAGTAAGATACACTGTTATGTAACTTTATCTGTCCACGAAGAACACCCTCATTATTGTTTTTAATGAAGGGTAGTTTTTTAAGACAAACTGTTCTATAATGTTACACTACTTGTGGTATTGTTTTATGTGTCGGTATATAAGATAATCTTTATATGGTAGTTATAAACTGCGGTCGTATCGACGGGTGCTCTTTAGGCAAGTTTACATAACGCCGGTACAGACCCTTTGACCCGAATAACATAAGAGGATGATGATGATGATGATGATGATATGAGAATAAAGGTGAGGGTCTGTCCTGTTGTTGTCAAATTGTGCAAATAAGCAAACGCGACGAAACGACACTGAAATGGTGACACTTAAGGTAAACAGTGTTTAAAAGTCAGTTTGGTTTGCCGTGGGAGACACCGCCGGAGAGAGAGAGAGTAGGAAAGTAAAAAGGAAGAAGTCAGTTGGATGACATACAAATAACACTTCTACACTTACATTGTACATGTATGAGCGATGTATGAAATTCACGTTCTACTTTTTGCTGTTTTTCAGTGTTCATTGACGACTGTGGTGGCGTTAACCTGGAGGATGTCAGATCAGAGTCAAGCTGCCTGACAGCGATGATATATACATCTACCTTTACCACTTACAAGGTAAATAAATCTACCTTTACCACTCACAAGGTAAATACATCTACCTTTACCACTTACAAGGTAAATACATCTACCTTTACCACTCACAACGTAAGTACATCTACCATTACCACTCACAACGTAAATACATCTACCTTTACCACTTACAAGGTAAATACATCTACCTTTACCACTCACAACGTAAGTACATCTACCATTACCACTCACAATGTAAATACATCTACCTTTACCACTCACAAGGTAAATACATCTACCTTTACCACTTACAACGTAAATACATCTACCTTTACCACTTACAAGGTAAATACATCTACTTTTACCACTCACAAGGTAAACACATCCACCTTTACCACTTACAAGGTAAATACATTTAACATTACCACTTACAAGGTAAACACATCTACCTTTACCACTTACAAGGTAAATACATCTACATTTACCACTTACAAGGTAAACACATCCACCTTTACCACTTACAAGGTAAATACACCTACCTTTACCACTCACAAGGTAAACACATCTACCTTTACCACTCACAAGGTAAATACATGATTTTCAACGGACGCTATGAGGACCTGTAATGTGCAAGTCAGTATCTCACTCAGAGACTATATACTATACATATATCTCGCTATCACCCTTACAAATGAGGTGTTGTATGTGTTTGCGCTTACTATGCACAATGTACGTCCGTTATGTTGACCATTTTACTTTATTAAACAATCGGCTTGTTATTTTACATGTCACTAGTGTAAAACCCTGGAGCGATTTTCATTGGCTGTGCCAGTCAGAAATCGATTGTGACGTCATAATATGGACAATGACGTGACGTCATAAATTGAGAATGGCGCAACAAAATGTCGGTCTCCGTTTTTGTGATAAAAAGTATCTGAAATTTGTTTTCATTTCATATGAGCTTTTATGAAACTCGTCTCGAAGTTTTAGTTTTTGCTCGCCAAGGCTCTCAAAAATAAAAACTCATATGAAATGAAAACTCATTTAAGATCCTATATATAACAAAAGTATAAATGTAACTCGCTAACCTCGCATGGATCAAAAGTTAACGGAAAATCTTACCACATCTCACATTCGTATTGTAAAGAAAACAGGATTTCACTGATATACGTAAATCAACTTAGCGATTTGTGGTTTAATGAAGGTACTTAAATACGTCACGAGATTATTTTGTACTGACTTAAAATAATCATGATTTACAGCTGGGTAGATTCCGCCACGTACATTGTACAGGAAGCTGATATGACGAATAAGTGGATGAAAGTCATTAAATCACAAACACATGTACACCTGTAAATATAGCTATGTTTACCGATGTGCTTCTACGTGTAGAAATGTACGTTACAAACAGAAATGAACGTTACAAACAGAAATGTACTTTCATAAGAATCTACTCTTGCGCTTTACTTCATGTAATGTCAGTTATGGTGACGTCATAGTTATGACATCATAATATCGTATTACATTTCCGTTCCAGTAATTCGTTTCCAGTGCAAATGAAAATTATAAAATTGGTTCCGAAAGGGTTTTCTGTTCAGCTCTTCAAAGCATAGGTAGATCATTCGGTTAGAGCGACAAGCACAACAGTCTTGAGTCCTGGGTGCGAATCCCGCTCTGCTCTCGATGAAATTTTACACTCGGAACACTGTTGTTGATTTTTTCATGAATAATTGATCAAATATATCCACATGACGTCATAAACTTACGCACTGGAGTCAAAATGTCGGCTTTTTACATTTCAAGGTTGCATGCAAATTGTCATTTTACACGAATAAATGCCACACATCTTGATTATGTGATAAAAATGATCTTACACTCGTTTTCATTTCATACGAGCCAGAGGCTCGCTAAATTGAAAAATTCCTGGACTTGTTTCATAAATCTCATACGAAATGGAATCTCATGTAAGATCCTAAAAAATTATGGCAGGTTGTGGAGTTGAGCGCAGCGTGATTTTCACGGCTGAATCTATCAATAGTTTCAGGATAAATACCACTTACTAAACATGTTTTGACACCATCGTAACTTGTCCGTCCGGATTATCTCGGCTGACGTCCTAGGCGTCAGGTGTCCCCTATTACAGAACAGCCAATCTGTAGTATTTTACTATTGCAGGGGTTAATTCACACTTTATCCAATTACAATGACGTACTCGTGCTACAGTGACCTTCGGTTATTGTCACATATTGTCACGCTACAGACCTACCCTACAATCTAGATCATCTCATTCCTAAGTATCAATATAAGAGGGGCCTATAGCTAATACAACTGTACATAATAACATCTTAATATTAACATTTTACGTATCAGTTATTTCCCCCTGTTTTGCTGTCGAATACAGGCTGTTTCCCCTATTCCAAAATGAAGAAAAAAAGAGGACCATCTTCCCCGTTTCAATTTAAAAATATGCCATATTTTTCCAATACATGTAGAAATAGGTTGTTGTAAAATTTAGGTAGAAAAGCCAGTGCAACGTCGATTTATGTGAAGGTTTACATAGGTATGCATATGTTGAACATTAAAATATACATCTTTAAGATGTCTTGTTTATGATAAATCTAGAGAACCCCACATGTCACCAGATTGTGAATGACCTATACGTAAGGAGTCAAGTGTTCTGTACTTCTCAGGTAATCGGTATCATAAATAGTGATAATTTTTGCCTTATTTTTAACGACAATACCATTGGGATGGAACGTTCAGCAGAAATACTCTTTTATTCTTATCCTTAGAATTATTAATTGTCCTAATTAAACAAATGATTTTATATACATTTCCACTTCAAGTCTCTCAATATATATATAAGCATTACCCGAAGAAATTGGATTTATAAAGCTATGAACGCATTTTAATCAGTGCCATTTGGAAGCTTCTCCTCTCGCCTCAAATAACACGAGACAACCATTAACAGCAAACAGTTTTGTGATGTAAGCTGTTAAGGAATCTAGTTTGCGCTGAAAACACAGATACTTCAGTATAATATCTAGGATAGCTAAAAATGTACAATGTAAATATCAGGATTTAAGGACCTGTTTTCAATGTTCATGCCGTTATGAACGCAAATCGGTTATATGTATGGAATAGTGGGGGTTTCGTGGAATATGTATATGTAACCCGATTTGCGTTCATAACAGCATGGAATTTAAAACAAAAATGTCGTTATATGTTATGTAGATACGCAATTGTTTCAAATAAGTATTATTGTTGATTTCAAGTTATTTAAACATATATTTATTGTAAAATCCCAGTAAAGAGACGATTAGAGATCTTTTATTTATCCGTCAATTCCATGTGCGTAATATACAAATTAACAATGTCACTCTTTCTATAAAATCAAGACTTTGTTTCCATGGCCAAATCTTCCCTATCATGTGACAGGTTTAGCGTTTGGCCCTCTGACTTTTAAATTGTTATTGTATATGACAGTTTGTATAGAAACAAGAAACCGCCTGCCGCCGTCTCGTATTAAATCCTATTTACTGTACACGGCCGGACAGGCTATTTGTTTCGTCATAGTTGATGTAATAGTTAACGAAATCGTTTAAAATACACAATAATCCGTGCTTATGTCCCTTAGAGCTAAAGTAATCGTGACTGACCCGAGTCCAAGAACGAGGTTACGTCGTCCTGGAGATTACAATAACGTTATCCAAAATACGAAGACTTGTATGGAATTCCCGTTCAGATCACACATATGCGTGTTACGTATGTATATATATAGTGTGTAGTAGACATGGCTATCACCAAGCAAGGTGTGTATTGTTCTGACGAGTAGAAACGTTCTAGCTATTGTATACCTTAGCTCAGCACCACTGAAGTCGACCTACATTTTGACTGCACATACAAAAAAGCTGTTTTAAATATATCTGATCCACAAAGCAAGCCTACACAGGTTATACTCGGTTCGGCGTACCAATATATGGTCGATTTAAACATCGATCTGACCAGAGCTACCCGCAATGGCCAGTATATGTGTATGGTCTGTGAGTAATAGCAACTCTGTGAAGTAGTAGCAGGAGGGGGAAAACTGAAAAACCTAACACAATTCCGCTTAATGTATTATACCGCCACAGAGTATTAGCGTCACCTTTAAATAAATAGTAATAACCGTTCTAACTATGTAAATGTAAGCAAGCGACATGTAAGGCGCAATCAACGAGGTGTTTTAATCGTGTATAAATGTGGATGACGTCATGGGACGGTTCAGTACTTGTTTAATTGGGCCCTACCAACTGTTTGTTTAACGGCATATGTGTGACCTGAACGGGAATTCCATACAAGTCTTCGTATTTTGGATAACGTTATTGTAATCTCCAGGACGACGTAACGCTCGCTCTTGGACTCGGGTCACAAATGGGACCGAGGCCGTTTCTACCAGTAGCTATAGTGTATAGTATACGTACTTATGATGCGAATAATCCGCCAGACCAACCAATGGACAAACCTGTAAGCAATTTTGTACGGATTCCAAAAATTGATTGTCCATTTTACAGCGGGTTTGCCTGCGCTGGTGCTGTGATCAATATCTATATATAGAATGTACCCGACAGACGATATGGTTTTAACTGTTATACGTGAGAAAGGTGTAAGCTTGAGTTGTAAATGTCTTGGTCAGTCGGTATTGACGGTGGTCGAAGATTCTGAGAGTGTTTATATAATTGACAGACTACTTTATGGATGTTCTGTACTCTGAGAAGCCATTATTATTAGCGGATACTGGTTATCGGATAAACGTTTAAACGGTAAGTGAACCTACCTCAGGAACGAATCGATTTTCTTGCTTACCGCGGCAGAAAGTGTGGAATAGTTTTCCTGGAAATTCAGTACGTGACATTTAGAAAGCTTTCAGTTTATTTGAAAGAAACCTCATAACTATCGAGCGTCTATCACAACGTTTACATTTCAATAAGGGTCTGTTATATCTGATCTCTCTGTTTATGTGATACACAAGGACATTTTTAAAGAACTTTTTCAAGGACATTTTATATAAAAAAAAAGTGAGGTTGAATAATTATTTCGTCAAGAAGGCAAATTTTTCCAAAAAATAAACTTCAGCTTGATGATATTGTATCTACTGAGACTGCAAATTTAAATCGGTACAACGAAATTTTACGGCATCGAATATAGAGTTAATTATTGAATGTGGAAAATGGTAAAATGTATCAAGAATATGTTATTTCTCTAAAGGAAACGTAGAGGATAAATTTTCTTTGGCAAACATCAAGGATATCAAACGCACGCGAAAAATTAGTCCGAATTATTCTGACGTTTTACTGCTACACGTACATTATCATCATCATAACGACGGGAGATGCGATGATCTGAAACGACTGTTGTCGTTACGAGATATTACAAAATACTAAGTCAAATAATGTTGTAAAACTAGACCATTGACTAAATGGACATTAAATTGGCAATTTTTAAATCTGAAATAACTCCTGATGTGCGCTGTCAAACAATACGGAGACTGATCGCTGAGTTCACCACACCGCACGTCACCAAAACCAACACTGTAAATCGTATTTTTAACGAAAGAAACCAAATTTAAAAAGAAAAAAACATTTCTTTCGGGCAGCGTTAGCAAAACTTCACATTCAATTAATGGTTATTTTTTGTGTCGGAAAAAAAGAAAACATAAAAACATATATTTCTTTATTATGTATATTAAACCCGGGGTCTTAGACTTGCCTTCGTTTCTATAATGTTGAATTTATAAAGAAAACTGTAAGACTGATTTTGATCTCTTTAATGTCTGATTGTTAGTTTCAAACTTAGGAAGCATCCTCGATATCCAGGGGCATCCGGGCATCCTCGATATCCAGGGGCATCCGGGCATCCGGGCATCCGGGCATCCTCGATATCCAAGGGGTTACGCTCACTTTCGCTCTCTGCACCCCTGGAATATGTCATAACATGACTGGTCTCGGGTAACAAAACCTGACCAATCGCCAGGCTGATACCTGTCCTTTGAAGATTACAAAGGGGGCGGCACCAGACTTTAAAGCCTTCAATTTTTCTATGACATATTCCAGGAGTGGGCGTTACCCCTGGATATCGGGCTGACCAGGAAGAGACAAATTTACATTGTAGTAAATTACCGAAACTTTGAACAGAGACCAACATTCAGTTGAAAAAAATGGCACCAAATCCTTTCCATTGATGAAGGGATAAATAAGGATTTACCTTCACTTTGACGGCGTATACTTATACGGTAGTACATGTATATACGGTGCGCGTTCAGGCCAGTCCTTATATTCAAACCGATTTTTTAAAAATGTTATACAAAGAAAACATTTTTTTTTAATTTTTTTATTTTAATCTCTTTTTTTTATTGTTTTTTTTTTCAAATATTTTATTTCCCCCAGCCAAATATTATATATATATATATAATACTGATATGGGGCAAAGAAGTAATTCCAACAGTGTGGTAATACTGATAAGTATATACAGATATATATAAATAAATCGATAGGAACTGCCATGAAGAAAACAATTGCTGAAGCTTTACAATTGCAAATATTTGTAGTTGTAATTTTACCTTTGAAACCATGCCCCATACATTTGTCAGATAAATTTGACCAAATCAACAAATACAATGTCTTTCATCATTTCATAGATTTTGTGTTAAAAGCAAGAGCTATTTAACAGTTTCTCAAAACTGACTTAAACTCCGTAAAACGTAGTCTTTAACTGGGACCTTAAACTTCTATGCGAATGAAATTCCAATCTTGTTTGTGTACGTAAAATAATTGTGTAGTTTGTGATCACCTGAGTCTCGAATTTTCCTCCCCATTGGTAAATCTAATTAGGAATCTTAAATGGAATGCGGTTACGGCGACCCACATCTTTTGATTGAAGGTTGATATTTATCTTATAAATGTAAATGTTATTAAAAAAACAAAACACTTCGATCTTTTAGTTTACATTGGTTTGAACGCATCCGTTCGTTTTTATCTATAAAAACATAGATTCTGATAGTGTCGGCTATTTAAAGGATATTTAAACTTCAAGTGGAGAGCACCGTGTCGTGTCAACATATACTGGGATAGAATTTATATTTAGAGTCAGTTCGGAGAAAAGTTCACGGCTTTACGAGTATCATCGACTCGGCCATCTTTATGTTATAATCATATGTGAATATAATAATACTAAGCTGAGCGATTGTGTTAACGGTCTCTCGGGGGTTCGAACGAGTTCGTCACGGGTGCTCTTCGAATTCTGGTCTAAACTAATTCCTTATTGGTGCTTGCAGTGACAATGACAATGACAATTGTTTTATTCTCATAAACAATACAGTGTAGAGAATACATATATACAAATGGGTGACAATAATACACGGTGGAACAGGATGGACATTAGTATTGTAAATTAATTATGTCATTAATATTGGTAATAAATTTAGCCAATGATGTCAATTCATGTTGTGTTACATAATTGAATAATGTATGATATTTAAATGTGTTCGGTCTTTCATAATTATATCTGGGCATATGTTTTCGCCTACCATTGAGAATTGGTTGATGTGCACATGTAAACAGATAATGAAATTCGTCGCCAATTTCTCTACAGAACATTGGTTAAAAGTACTTTGATAGTAGTAATCGCAGGTAAAACTTGCTTACGCCGTACCTGTTGTTAAACTTCGTTAACAATATTCTGTGCCTTTAACATATGCCGAGCTGGTCGGAAATCAAACTACACAAATTGTTGGGCTGGCCAAGAAAGCACAATTCGAGAGTAATATTTTTATCGACTTCTCTGGACGTAAGGGATTCATATTTACCCTTTTTGGTTGGAAGCATTTTCTGTTGGTGGAGACTCAGATTAGGCAAAAGGAATGGCCCCACCCCTGGAGACGAATACGTATACATTTGTATGCTACCTAGATGGCCCCAGGGTCTGGTGCACGCATGGAGACTTAGTCCCTGGGTCATTCTCATACACACAATTACATAGCGTAAAGAGGTGAACACCATCATGGTATTATAATTTACCCCAGGGTCTGGTCACACCCGTGATACCTGGGTCACAACACTAGTCGGATTTCAATTATTGGAACAGCCAATAGCCAGCATTGGCCACTGATCCCGAGTGTTATGATCATGACGTCACAGTTGTAATGACCTCACGATCGCAGCACGCGAGGATAATGTTTCAACAGTGTAACTCACATCTGCCGTTTGTATGTTTATATGGGACAATTCCTAACAAATGTAAATAGATGTTACTCACAGTATTTAGTTGTACGAGCTTGACATTGGATATGATGTACCGTAATATTGTATTAAACCTGACTTTGATTTTTATCCCACAGATCGTATAAACCATCCACGTGAAGCCAAATGCTGAGTATCACAACTCTCACACGGAAGTCAAAGAAACCGAAACTCATGTCAGACAATGATAGGAAGAAAAAAAAAGGCTTGGTGTCCGAGATTTCTCAGAACCAGGAGATTAACCCTAAAAACGAAGCTATCTCAATGATGGGGATGCTGAAACGGGACGAGGAAGCTCTCACGTTGCACATCAAAGACTTACTAAAGTATCGAAAGGACTATGCAAAGACAGTGTTTACCACTGACGTCGAAGGCTGGACGCCATTCCACGCGTTTGCGTTACGTGGATGTCGAAAGCTAGTGAAATTCAGTTTAAAGGCGGGTGTGGAGGTAGACTTAGAGATGGGACAGCCCGAGGGTCTTCCTGGCGGCTGTTCCGCTCTACACCTGGCCTCCCATCGTGGTGACGTCAGCATTATCGATATTCTCATCACCAACGGAGCGGCAGTGAACAAGAAAGATAACTCCGATAGGACACCGATATTTTATGCATCCCGTGCTAGTAACACGCTCGCAATGAAAAAACTGGCGCGTGCAGGTGCTGACGTCAGTCTGTGTGACCCGGATCACAAAGCATCAATCGACGATCTCCCGCCTTCACCATTCTGCTTTCTTCCGTTCGTTGGACAAAGGCGGAAGTCTGACAAATAGTCAGTTCCGGTAAAAGTCACGTGATATGCACTGCTCATTCTATTCTAATTTAAGTTGTCTATTTTAAGATTGGGGATGTGTGAAATATCACTTATCACAACTGTGGTATACATTATCAGGATGTCCAGACCTCAATTTCTCAAAAAATAAATTCAAATACCAATTCTTTGTGATATTTTGCAAAATCTGTGACGGACATCTCTTATTTGCGGAATTTATTTTCACAATTTAAAAAGCACTAGAATCTAGTAGGTGCTGAAGATCATTAAACACTTGAGTGAATATTAACAAAATGCTTGAAGATAACTTAATCATATAAATATTACTTGTTAGATTTTGTGGATTATTTAAATATAATACCAAAAAACTAACTGAAAAAAATGATTGTCAAAAGTTCTAATTATTATTTTTAAGAAAATGTGGTCTTGGACGACAGCATTATTTGTTATTTATTTGTGGTGTGATTACTAATCGGAGTCCAGTCGATACGCCGGGTGACGAGGAAGTCAGAGTCCAAATTTCAGTCAAAATTCATTTTCTATAAAAACCGTCCGGATTTAGTGAAATACATGTGTTGTGTTTGTAAGCATATTTATAACATATAAGAAAATATTCAGAACTGGACTGAAGTCTACATTTCGTTCAGATCCTTGTGTCAAACTAGCACCAACCTAGGTTAGAAGTTCCGAATCTCGTTATCAGTACCTTACGTTTGTATGATGATGCACTAGTGAATCTAAACGTGCCTTTTGTACCACGCCACCAATGGTAAAGTGCCTTTATCAATGATTTTGCAGCTCTGATAGCACAGCCCCTTTGATCCAACGTATATAATTAATTATGTGTGATTGTTTTATTTGATATTTGAAAAGTGCTATTGTGTCATTTCATATCCTTTCTTATTCAACGAAGGTGCAATAGTGAGGACTACCTGTAGGTAGAGATAAATGTCAGATAATGTATTAGCATGTCTGACTCTTAGACTTTATATTAAGGGGTCATGTTACCAACAGCTAACTATCACAATGACCGTTTGTGATTTCTGTACTCAGCGATGTCAAACCCATCCTCGATGTCCAGGGGTTACGCTCACGTTCGCTCTCTACTACCGAGGAATAACTCTTTCCGAAGTTGAAGGCTCAGTGTGCGCCACCTTGTTGATGATACAAGAAGACTACTTCGTTTCTTTGATATACATCAAAAGAATCTCGCGGTCACGTAACGGTAAAAAATGACAGACTTTGAAGTCGGGCGTCTCTCCTTTGTAATCTTCAAAGGACAAGTATTAGCCTAGCGATTGGTCAAGTTTTTTTTACCTGAGACCAATCAAATAGCTAGCTGCGTGCCTTCAATTTTATTATGACATATTCCAGGGGTGTAGAGAGCGAAAGTGAGCGTAACCCCTGGGTATTTTTCGTCTGCTGGATAACCGAACTACTCGGTAGTGAAACGGACGTAAAACCTATCAATCAATCAATCAATCAATCAATCAATCAATCAAACCCCAGGATATCGAGGGTGTGTCAAACCCACATGGCTTTATCGTTTTTTGATGTTCCCGAGTCGGAACAATCTATCTACATGTTACATATGATATCCATCAGAAAGTTAGTTTTCTTTTGGTTCGTTAGATCGGTTAAGTACAGGAAATAGCCAATGTTCTCAATCTGAAACAGGGGGCTATCAACTCCGTACAAACAGTAAGACCCAAAGTTATCGATTTATTTATATATATGTTTTTGTAAATAATGAGTGAATAATGATTATAAATCACCAGTCTACTTACATTTCCCTATTTGACGTTTGATTTTTTTATATGACTTATAATCGTTTTGTGTTAAGTAAACGTTAAGGAGGTCACAGTATATTATTTTACTGTTTAAATAGATATGTAGAGATAGATGAAGAGTGTAGGGACGGTGTCACATACACTTTTTAATTACTCTAAAGCTAGACATATAAATTCGAGCCTTGTAAATAATCTGGACTCTCGTTAATCCGGCCACCATTAACCGGTCGCCACTAGGCCCTGGTCGTTCCAACATCCGGGCCCCTACTGTGGAGCTGGAGTTTAAAGTACGATTGCTATCGACTTCGGTTGCTATATATACACACAGCGGATGCCGAATCATGTTCAATTCAAATAAAAATAACAATTATACATATGCATTAAATTTACTTACCTCAAGGACAGGGAACCATGACGAACAACCTCGTCTTAATATCTAATAAATGTAAAGATATTTTAATATCGAAAATAGAATAACGTGTGAAGTGGAACGTCCGGCCGGCGAGATTTCTGTCCCAGATGGTCCGGATTAACGATGTGTCGGATTATCGTTGTATCGGATTAACGAGTGTCTTTTTCTACGTTTTTTTTGTGATGCGTGTATCCCTCCTGTCGGGGAAGTTATCAGGAATACGATAGTTTATGTTTTAGCTGCATTGAGAGATATTTTTTCTGTAAGCATCATGTGATATTATAGAACGCCTTATAAAGTACACTAAATCACGGTGTGTTACCCTAGCTGGGTAAACCGTCCCTGTAATATGCAGCAGAGTGCGACATTTAGATTTACGCTATACTAATTATACTATAAGTTGATTGCTGTCTATAGCTGTCTACGTGTATATATATTTACAGTTTAAACTGACTTTTATTCCAAAACCATCCGAGAACCTTCCCGTAGATCATGACAACATCCCATGACAGTACTTGTGGGAACACAGTACCATTGTATGACGTCATCGATGGTAGATGTGGGCGGAGTTAACCTAGAACCAGGCTTATGCAAATTTCAGGCCATTGCTTTGATAAATCTACACATTTTTAGTATTTATTGAAAATGAAAGTTATATCCGCTGATCAAACACGTGTATCAAATAGTTATGAAGTTTGCACAGAAGAACTAAATGTAGGGAATAATGCTCCATTTTCATTTGGTTATGAAGGGATACTACCAGTTAACATTGGTTTGACATTATTTAACGTTTTATATTCTCCATGTATAGTACGGAGATCAGATATTTCCTCAATTAGAAAGAGTTACTTCCCTTTTGATCAAGTATCTTAATAGATTTGTTTTATTACTTTTGGACTAGATTAGACTGCTATTTTCAGTGGAATAGTTAACACCCTTTGTTCTGAAATTGTTTTATAGTCTAAGAGAGGGTTTTTTTGAGAAATTTTCGGTTTTGAAATATTTTGAAAATTAACCATATGGTAAAATGAAACTTTTTCTTAATATTATTCCATATTTTCATTGATTTTTGATTATTATTATTATAAAACAACTATCGATACCTATCGGGAAGGGGTATAACTCGTACAGTTCGATGATGTAATCATATTCCACCAGGAGAGAAATACTATAGGGCAGAAGTTATCTATATCATTACCATGACTCAGGAAGACATACCTTATGCAATATATAAGTCTTTGGTGTTATTTTTTCACCTAACTCTTGTTCAAAGTTAGCATTATGATTGAACAATCAATATTTGTCTTTTTATGACTTTTTAAAAGTATATTACACCAGATGCATTACATTTGTATTATGAAGTTTGGTTAAATGACGATGTATTTTTTGTGCACACTTGACGATATTTCTTGTTCGCCTTGCCGGAAGGTCCACGTGAGCTTGTGACGTGGCGCGGCCTCCGTCGTCCGTCCGGTCTTAAATGCTTTCTTTGGTCGACTTCTGAAGATCCAAAAGATCCTGGTTGTGGAGTAGCATACTAGGATGAGTGACAGCAGAATTTAATCAAACGAATGACCCCGATCCACTGTCAAGGGTACGGGTCAGATGTATTAACATATTTAAACTACTTCATCTAAATTTTGCCCAGTAATATGCTCAGATGAAGAGCTACGAATTTTGTTTGAAAGACACAGGGATCAAATGTTTTGAAAACATTCACCCTTAAAGGCCCAAGGTTATGGTATTTGGCCAGTCGCATGCTGGAAATAAGAGCTCTCAATTTGTTCATGTGAATGACAGTGACTCACGATCACATAGTCAAATGGGTAACAACTTTAAAAGATGTCTTCTCAATAACCAAAACAAAACAGGGTGATGCTATCTGGCCAGTAGCTTACTGGTATAAAGGGCAATCCAGTATGTTCAAATCGAAATGACTTGCTAGAATGTCAAGATCTCTGGGTCAAATGTGTAAAATGATTAAGAGTCATAGCTAATGTTACACTGTACAAGTATTAAGCCTGGAATTTTATGTGATATTAATACCAGGTGAGCGATACAAGCCCTTTGAGCCTGTTGTTGTTGTGCTGACATGATGATTTTGTTGTGCTCACATACCGATTATTAATGAACTATTCATAAAATAATAATGTCCTTGCTGTCATCGATTCATTATTTATGTCATATTCTGTCAAAATATCTGTATTTATGTGTAAATGTTGACAGGACTCCTGGGTGTATAAATGTTGACAGGTCTCCTGTGTGTATAAATGTTGACAGGACTCCTGTGTGTATAAATGTTGACAGGACTCCTGTGTGTTTAAATGTTGACAGAACTCCTGTGTGCATAAATGTTGACAGGACTCCTGTGTGTTTAAATGTTGACAGGTCTCCTGTGTGCATAGATGTTGACAGGTCTCCTGGGTGTATAAATGTTGACAGGTCTCCTGTGTGTATAAATGTTGACAGGTCTCCTGTGTTTAAATGTTTACAGGACTCCTGTGTGTATAAATGTTGACAGGACTCCTGTGTGCATAAATGTTGACAGGACTCCTGTGTTATAGGTATATAAACACGATACACCAGAACACATTATCACACACCTACTAGGTGCATTTTTTTATTTATTTATATCGCTTTCATGTGTTGGGAAATATGTTGTTTTTATTTAAAGTTAAATTTAATTGATTTTGAAAAAGTGCATCTATCAATTAAAGTAAAACGCCAAAATCTGGTTTCGAAACCTTAATACGGGTAAGTTTTATGGAAAAAGTTAGGTAGGGGTTAGAGGGCGATTTGTAGGTACCATGCTCAATGGAGCTGCCGAGCCACCGAGAGTGGACTATTTTGCATATTTTTTGGTTTCGTTTTTAGGTCAGAGCTGAATTTTGATGATCTAGAAATCGAAGTCATTGGTGTTTGACAGAAGTTTGACATAGAGTCACGTTTCGAGACGAACTATTTAAACCCGTAGAGTCACGTGTCGCACCATTTAAACCCGAAGTTTGAAGCATTCTGTGATAATTGCTGTTGTCGAATTCTTGTGCTGTTTCAGTGACAAACCTAACTATTAACTTGCTCTTTGGATAATCGAGTATGTTACTATTTGTTATCATATATTTTTTATGAATTCAATGTTAAATGTTAGTTTTGTTATGTGGACCCGTGCTGAAACAAGATTGGGGTCCCGGGTTGACAATATTCGGAGCATATTCACACATCGAGGCACGTGTGAGGTTATATAATTACTTACTCCAGACTACATGACGCTTACACCCTCGGATCTATACCCTTATCTTATAATGGTTACGTTAAGTGGACGATTTCAAAAACTCAAGTATCTACCGGAAATGTTAGTATCATTGAAGGACTATTCATTGAGACTTCACTTTGAGGTGTTTTATATTGACAACGTGTTTCACAGTTCAAGATTTATCGCTTGATCAGTTGAACCATTTTTTTATAACCACGAAAGACAACTTCCGTTATTCTTCGGAGTTTTTATATACTCTCTAGTAGCAACCGTAATTTAATCGCAGTGTGAAGTTAATAACATTTAGTAGTTGTTTGTAGTTCTGATAACAATAGTTTCAATGATTTAAATCGTTAATGGAGAAACACTCACTACATCCATTGTAAAGGTTAACATTAATCGTGTGATTCTTTTTTCATTTCATAATTCGTAAAACATTATTTTAAACTATCAAATTGTCATGGAAAAGTGTTTTCCAAATAAGAATGAGTGGCTGCCTGGTCAGGTGTACCCTTAAACGCGAAGAAATATCATTGGCATATATCTGTTCCTTATCATTTAGTGAAAGATTTATGAAAATTTGATAAGTCGATTAACATCATACATGGTAGAGTAATACTTCAACTGTCGTGTCATGGTGTTGACCTCAGGTGCCTCGACATGATAGCGCTGTGTCGAGGCCATATTGTGACGCCATTATGGTTTAGTCAAATACCTACATTGGTGATTTTGTTGCATTTAGAGTCTTAAGACAATATTTACAACACAAACATTTGTAGTCATGATGCCTGTGATATTTCATCGCACTTACCACTGAACCAAAATGGCCCCGTTCATTCTATGCTGGAGGATTTGGAAACCATCCAATTAAGCTTTATACAATCACGTGACCAATCAATGCCAAACATTCCATATCTGCATTTGGTGATGACAGAGCTTCGGTTGAATTAATATGTACGGAGCACCTTGTATCACCTATGGCTTTAACTAATTCTCATTGCCGAGAAAATCAGTATATCTAGAGGTGCTCCGAACGATATTAAATGTCAGGAATACCATCAATCGAAGCATTCCGATCATGCAATGGTCATTGACCGCGTGAATTCTGTTTTTTCTGAGTCTTATAAAGTGTTTCACGTATGTATGACTTGTACAAAAAGATGTGGCCAAAATATGTACGGAGCACCTTGTATCACCTATGGCTTTAACTAATTCTCATTGCCGAGAAAATCAGTATATCTAGAGGTGCTCCGAACGATATTAAATGTCAGGAATACCATCAATCGAAGCATTCCGATCATGCAATGGTCATTGACCGCGTGAATTCTGTTTTTTCTGAGTCTTATAAAGTGTTTCACGTATGTATGACTTGTACAAAAAGATGTGGCCAAAATATGTACGGAGCACCTTGTATCACCTATGGCTTTAACTAATTCTCATTGCCGAGAAAATCAGTATATCTAGAGGTGCTCCGAACGATATTAAATGTCAGGAATACCATCAATCGAAGCATTCCGATCATGCAATGGTCATTGACCGCGTGAATTCTGTTTTTTCTGAGTCTTATAAAGTGTTTCACGTATGTATGACTTGTACAAAAAGATGTGGCCAAAATATGTACGGAGCACCTTGTATCACCTATGGCTTTAACTAATTCTCATTGCCGAGAAAATCAGTATATCTAGAGGTGCTCCGAACGATATTAAATGTCAGGAATACCATCAATCGAAGCATTCCGATCATGCAATGGTCATTGACCGCGTGAATTCTGTTTTTTCTGAGTCTTATAAAGTGTTTCACGTATGTATGACTTGTACAAAAAGATGTGGCCAAAATACAACTATAAAACTTAATAAAATCTTCAAAAATCTTACGTTGAACTTTGTCTTATTTCTATTTTACATACAATGTATTTTAATTGACTTCGCACGAAAGGACGATTTGTTTTGGGGGGGATACTTCTTCTCAATAACAAAAAGACCCAAGTGGATGACATTTGACAAATACCCTGCTTGGATACATGTGTTACATTGACCGACGTTCAAGGTCCCACGGATCAAGTTTACGATAACTTTGAAGTGACTTCTCAATAACCAAAAGATACAGTGGTAAAATTTGGTTGGTTGTATTCTGCGATGAAGGGCTACCTTTTTGGTGCATTGTGCCCAAACATGATAAACCCTATCCTGACAACATAATGTGAAGTCTTCCAACCTGTTACTACACACAGGTCTTCCAACCCGTTACTACACACAAGTCTTCCAACCCGTTACTACACACAAGTCTTCCAACCCGTTACTACACACACGTCTTCCAACCCGTCAAACAAACAAACTACACACAAGTCTTCCAACCCGTTACTACACACAGGTCTTCCAACCCGTTACTACACACAAGTTTTCCAACCCGTTACTACACACAAGTCTTCCAATCCGTTAATTACTACACACAAGTCTTCTAACCCGTTACTACACACAAGTCTTCCTTAAGTCTTCCAACCCGTTACTACACATAAGTCTTCCGACCTGTTACTACACACACGTCTTCCTTAAATATTCAAACCCGTTACTACATACAGGTCTTCCAACCCGTTACTACACACAAGTCTTCCAACCCGTTACTACACAGACATGTTTTCCAACCTGTTACTACACACAAGTCTTCCAACCCGTTACTACACACACGTCTTCCAACCCGTCAAACAAACAAACTACACACAAGTCCTCCAACCCGTTACTACACACAAGTCTTCCATCCCGTTACTACACACAAGTCTTCCAACCCGTTACTACACACAAGTCTTTAATACATGTCGCAATCATCACTTACTCAATATTGAATATTTTAAAGTTGTATAAGTAATGCAGGTGTAAATATCAACCTGTTGTCTGAATCAACTTTCCAGAACTTTCCGTTCACTCTTTCCATACTCGATACATTTGACTCTGTGTTGTTTGTGCGTTCTATGGTTCATTGTATCGAGATACCCGGTGTGAGCGAGTATAAAAGTGGAGACCAGCCAACATTGTATCGAGATACCCGGTGTGAGCGTGTTTAAAAGTGGAGACCAGCCAAAGCTCAATAAATTGGCAGGTAAACTATCGGCTGGATTGGTCCTGGAGTATGCTTAAGCTCACCTAGGGCAAGTGAGCTTATTTCATGTGCGAAGTCCTTGGTAATTAAGTACTTGGGATGGAGTGTTATTTTTAGTTTCTTTATATCAATGACCTTGACCTTCTTTCAAGGTCACAGCATTTCAAGTTCCATAACTATAGTATACATACTTGGATACGATAAGAACAATTGTTCTATAGAAAATGCTTTGATGTAATCATTTTTCTTGCATGCTAGACCGCGATATCCGCATTTCCGGCGGTGCTGGAAAATTCTATCCGATCCTCGGGTCTAGATCGCTAACACGCGCATGCTGGCGGGGGAATCATTATTCGTGACGTCATTTTATGACGTTTTTGGGTAAGTCAGGGGCATTGACGTTACTTACAATTGACATCCGGGCTTCATATGCAAATGAGAATTGTGCAGACATTTTACAACTTTACTAGAAGAGCAGCTGTTTTTACGGGTTGAAGGTAATAAGCAAGAAATAGAATCCATCCGTGATGTGAGGTAAGGATAAGGTTACTCAAACCCTCGGGATAAAATATTGAGAAAAAGTCCCTCGGCAAAGCCTCGGGTCTCCTGCTCAATATTGTATCCCTTGGCTTTGAATAATAGAATCAGTCATCCCCTTTGGGATGAGATAGGGGAATCTCAACCCGAGGGGGAAGATTCTTATGTTGCCAAATACGAGGCTTTGCCGAGTGTTTGGCAACTTAAGAATCTTTCCTCGTGGGTTGAGATTCCCCTATCTTACCCACAAGGGGGTGAATGCTTTTTTTCCCTTACCCTGTTTTCCCAATGTGTATCAACCCTAGGGTGAGACAAGGAGATCTCACACCGGTAAAAGTGCGGATACACCTGTCCAGGGTAAGATAATAACCTTATCAATACCTCACATCAGGGATGGATTCTATGAATATGACACATTTTTATATTTTATCATATAATAGCCATAGCACGTATTATTCTTTGTTTTCATACGAAATTCTCAAATCGCTTTGGTCGAATTTTCATATTTACATTACTGCAATTGTGTGTTTTCAATTTTGAATTTGTATTTTTGTTTGTTTGTTTTTGCAAAAACATCGCAATATGTGATTGATTAGGATTAGTTTTGTTGAAAATGACTTCAAAAATATTTCTAAACAATGAGAATGGCAATGTTATTTTTTAACTCGTTGTTACTTTTTATCTTGAATATATATAGAAATATGCGGCCATCATAATGAGTGCCGAGCGAGTGTCCTGCGAGATTTTCGCGCGCCCAGCAGTTCATTAAATTTTTCTCTTGATTATTCCTTGTCATTCATATAGGATATTCAAGTTTATCAATTACAGAGGCTTTTGGACGTAGTGCAAGGGAAGCGACTCGTACAGAACTACAAGTATTTTGAATGATCATTATGTTTACTATCGACAACAACAAACATTTCTACCCTTGTTTATTATCGATCTTTTAAACTTCACTACAATGCCGAGGTCCGGACAATGACAACGAGGGAGAGATACTGTGGGATGTCGCTCGGTTTCCGCTGCCATAGATGTACGTTGTCGTCCTTAGGTAACGGGAAGTAGATACTTCCAGGCCACCATGCAGATGTGAAAATTGTCAAAATGTGCACTGCTGTGTGAAATGAAAGCCTGTTTAATTAATTATGTTCCCTGTCAGAATCTGATATTAAATGTCAGTTTGGTACTTTGTTGTTGAAGTTAAGAAGAGTGTTTGACTACTTACACCTGTCTGACAGTCAGAGTTTTATAACACAACTACATGTATATCCGATATGTGTTGATAACGACTATCGCACGTTTACAATTATAGAACATTAAACCTGTCTAATATCTAGTAACTAACGAATGATTAGAGTCTAACTAATTCAATTACAAGTACATCAAAGGGACATAACTCTAGGACAAAACTAAACCTATTATTATAATACCTCGGGAGTCACGGTGCGCAGAGAAGTAACGTGACAGCATAGTTGAGATATTGCTGTGTTTCATAGTTATATTACATTTGTGAGATTTTATTACTTTTTCATGAAAAAAATAATGCATCTACCCAAGGCATGCTGTCCACTACAATTTAAAGGTGTCCCCCGCCGAATATAGATATGGATCCCGGTGGTATCGATTTTCTTTAGTACCCGTGTGTAAACCCGTACAAGGAGAGTGAGGCCTGGACGATTTTCCTTGTGTCTCGTCAAATATGGACAATATATTCATGTTCAATTTGAAGTGTGGTTTCGTGTTTGCTAATCAACCGACTTGGCGATTAAAGTAAAGATCGAAGTAGATATATTTTAAAGAAACTTGGTAAGGTATTACATTAACCGTTAGAGCTGTAATTTTATTGACACTTCAGTACAATACATGCAGCCGAAAGTATTTATATATTCTCTTTATATCTCCTATTGATATCAAATAATTTAAATAAAAAATAATAATAATAATAATTCGAGGTTGTTATATGCCGCTTTATCACAACCTAGTTCGAAGGTCGTCGCAAAGCGGTTCACAAATTATTATCCGTGGTTATAGGGCGTTTGCAACCAGTCAATATCTGTCTCAACTCCCTGGGGAGCATACAACCAGTGCTGCCATTTCAGCACTCACAGCTAGCATTCTATAATTCTAGCACTACCCAACCACATACGTATTTGCAGCTGAGTAGACTGGTACAAGCGGAGTAAAGTATCTTGCTCAAAGATACAACACAGTGCCGTGCCGTGACGCGAACCCGCAACCCTTCGGTCACGAGCCCGGCGTCCTACCACTAGATTACCGTACCTCCGTTATTTAAATGAATCAATAAACAAAACAACACATGTTTAAAACAATGTAACTATATTCTATTCGAAAATCTAACAGCCAGTAGAATATCCTGTGACATTGAGCCAGGCCAAAACCCCTCGTTGTACTGTCGGTAGGTAATCCGTGTCTGAAACAAAAAACAACAACTGAGGAACAGACATCTTACGAGAATAGAAAGGTTAAACTACCAATACCAATATAGTAAGGTAAAACTACCAATACCAATATAGCAGGGTACAACTACAAATACCAATATAGTAGGGAAAAACTACCACTACCAATATAGTAGGGTAAAACGACCAATACCAATATAGAAGGGTACAACTACCAATACGAATATAGCAGGGTACAACTAAAAATCCAAATATAGTAGGGTATAACTACTAATACAAATATAGTAGGGTACAACTAACTACTAATACCAATATAGCAGGGTTCAACTACCAATATAGCAGGGTACATCTACCAATATAGTAGGGTAAAACTAACAATACCAATATAGTAGGGTACATCTACCAATACCAATATAGCGAGGTAAAACTCCCAATACCAATATAGCAGGGGACAACTACCAATATCAATATAGTAAGGTAAAACTACCAATAACAACATAGTAGGGTTCAACTACCAATACCAATAATGTAGGGTATATCTACCAATACCAATATAGCAGGTTACATCTCCCAATACCAATATAGCAGGTTACATCTCCCAATACCAATATAGCAGGGTAGAACTACCAATACCAATATAATAGGGTACAACTACCAATATAGTAGGGTACATCTACCAATACCAATATAGCAGGTTACATCTCCCAATACCAATATAGCAGGTTACATCTCCCAATACCAATATAGCAGGTTACATCTCCCAATACCAATATAGCAGGGCACAACTATCAATATAGTAGGGCACAACTACTAATACCAATATAGTAGGGTAAAACTGCCAATACCAATATAGTAAGGTAGAACTACCAATACCAATATAGCAGACTACAACTACCAATACCAATAAAGCAGGGTATAACTACAAATACCAATAGAGTAAGGTAAAACTACCAATAACAACATAGTAGGGTTCAACTACCGATACCAATATAGCAGGGTATAACTACCAATATAGTAGGGCACAACTACCAATACCAATACCAATATCAATATAGCAGGGTACAGCTACCAATACGAATATAGTAAGGTAAAACTACAAATACCAATATAGTAAGGTACAACTACCAATACCAAAATAGCAGGGTACAACTACCGTAAAGTATCTTTCTCAAAGATACAACACAGTGCCGTGCCGTGACGCGAACCCGCAACCCTTCGGTCACGAGCCCGGCGTCCTACCACTAGATTACCGTACCTCCGTTATTTAAATGAATCAATAAACAAAACAACACATGTTTAAAACAATGTAACTATATTCTATTCGAAAATCTAACAGCCAGTAGAATATCCTGTGACATTGAGCCAGGCCAAACCCCCTCGTTGTACTGCCGGTAGGTAATCCGTGTCTGAAACAAAAAACAACAACTGAGGAACAGACATCTTACGAGAATAGAAGGGTTAAACTACCAATACCAATATAACAGGGGACAACTACCAATAAAGTAAGGTACAACTACCAATGCCAATATAGCAGGGTACAAATACCAATATAGAAGGGTACAACTATCAATATCAATATAGCAGGGTACAACCCCCAATACCAATATAGTAAGGAACAACTACCAATACCAATATACAAGGGTACAACTACCAATACAAATATAGTAAGGTAAAACTACCAAAACCAATATAGCAGACTACAACTACCAATACCAAGTAGGGTACAACTACCAAACCCAATATAGCAGGGTACAAATACCAATATAGAAGGGTACAACTATCAATATCAATATAGCAGGGTACAGCTACCAATACGAATATAGTAAGGTAAAACTACCAATAACAACATAGTAGGGTTCAACTACCGATACCAATATAGCAGGGTACAACTAGCAATATAGCAGGGTACAACTAAAAATCCAAATATAGTAGGGTATAACTACTAATACAAATATAGTAGGGTAAAACTAACAATACCAATATAGTAGGGTACATCTACCAATACCAATATAGTCGGGTATAACTACCAATACCAATATACAAGGGTACAACTACCAATATAGAAGGGGACAACTACCAATATAAAATGGTACAACTACCAATATAGTACGGCACAACTACCAATATAGTAGGGTAAAACGACCAATACCAATATAGAAGGGTAAAACTACCAATACCACTATAGTAGGGTAAAACTACAAATACCAATATAGTAGGGTATAACTACTAATACAAATATAGTAGGGTACAACTAACTACTAATACCAATATAGCAGGGTTCAACTACCAATATAGCAGGGTACATCTACCAATATAGTAGGGTAAAACGACCAATACCAATATAGAAGGGTAAAACTACCAATACACAACTACTAATACCAATATAGTAGGGTAAAACTAACAATACCAATATAGTAGGGTGAAACTACCAATACCAATATAATAGGGTACAACTACCAATACAAATATAGTAAGGTAAAACTCCCAATCCCAATATAGCAGGGTACAACTAAAAATCCAAATATAGTAGGGTATAACTACTAATACAAATATAGTAGGGTAAAACTACAAATACCAATATAGTAGGGTGAAACTACCAATACCAATATAACAGGGGACAACTACCAATATAAAATGGTACAACTACCAATACCAATGTAGTAGGGTACAACTATCAATTCCAATATAGCAGGGCACCACGACCAATACCAATATAGAAGGGTACAACTATCAATATCAATATAGCAGGGTACAGCTACCAATACGAATATAGTAAGGTAAAACTACCAAAACCAATATAGTAAGGTAAACCTACCAATACCAATATAGTAGTGTAAAACTACCAATACCAATATAGAAGGGTACAACTATCAATATCAATATAGCAGGGTACAACTAAAAATCCAAATATAGTAGGGTATAACTACTAATACAAATATAGTAGGGTACAACTACCAATATAGCAGGGTACCACTATCAATATAGTAGGGTACAACTACTAATACCAATTTAGCAGGGAACAACTACCAATACGAATATAGCAGGGTACAACTAGCAATATAGCAGGGTACAACTATCCATATAGTAGGGTACAACTACCAATACGAATATAGCAGGGTACAACTAGCAATATAGCAGGGTACAACTACCGTAAAGTATCTTGCTCAAAGATACAACACAGTGCCGTGCCGTGACGCGAACCCGCAACCCTTCGGTCACGAGCCCGGCGTCCTACCACTAGATTACCGTACCTCCGTTATTTAAATGAATCAATAAACAAAACAACACATGTTTAAAACAATGTAACTACATTCTATTCGAAAAGCTAACAGCCAGTAGAATATCCTGTGAAATTGAGCCAGGCCAAACCCCCTCGTTGTACTGTCGGTAAGTAATCCGTGTCTGAATCAAAAAACAACAACTGAGGAACAGACGTCTTACGAGAATAGAAAGGTTAAATTACCAATACCAATATAGTAGGGTAAAACTACCAATACCAATATAGAAGGGTACAACTACCAATATCAATATAGCAGGGTACAACTACCAATACCAATATAGTAAGGTACAACTACCAATACCAATATAGTAAGGAACAACTACCAATACCAATATAGCAGGGTAAAACTACCAATACCAATATAACAGGGTACAACTACCAATACAAATATAGCAGGATACAACTACCAATACCAATATAGTAAGGTAAAACTACCAATACCAATATAGTAGGGTGAAACTACCAATACCAATATCGTAGGGTAAAACTACCAATACCAATATAGTAGGGTACAACTACCAATACCAATATAGCAGGGTAAAACTACCAATACCAATATAATAGGGTAAAACTACCAATACCAATATAGTAGGGTATAACTACCAATACCAATATAGCAGGGTATAACTACCAATACCAATATAGTAGGGTACAACTACCAATACCAATATCGTAGGGCAAAACTACCAATACCAATATAGTAAGGTAAAACTTCCAATACCAATATAGTAGGGTAAAACTACCAATGCCAATATAGTAGGGTACAACTACCAATACCAATATAGTAAGGTACAACTACCAATGCCAATATAGCAGGGTACAACTACCAATGTCAATGTAATACGGTACAACTACAAATATCAATATAGTAGGGTTCAACTATCAATACCAAAATAGCAGGGTACAACTACCAATATCAATAAAGTAGGGTTCAACTACCAGTACCAATATTATACGGAACAACTACCAATACCAATATAGTAAGGTACAACTACCAATGCCAATATAGCAGGGGACAACTACCAATGTCAATGTAATACGGTACAACTACAAATATCAATATAGTAGGGTTCAACTATCAATACCAATATAGCAGGGTACAACTACCAATATCAATATAGCAGGGTACAACTACCAATACCAATAATGTAGGGTATATCTACCAATACCAATATAGTAAGGTACAACTACCAATGCCAATATAGCAGGGGACAACTACCAATGTCAATGTAATACGGTACAACTACCAATATCAATATAGTAGGGTACAACTACCAATACCAATATACCAGGGTACAACTACAAATACCAATATAGTAGGGTAAAACTACCAATACCAGTATAGTAGGGTAAAACTACCAATACCAATATAGCAGGGTAAAACTACCAATACCAATATAATAGGGTAAAACTACCAATACCAATATAGTAGGGTATAACTACCAATACCAATATAGCAGGGTACAACTACCAATATCAATATAGCAGGGTACAACTACCAATACCAATAATGTAGGGTATATCTACCAATACCAATATAGTAAGGTACAACTACCAATGCCAATATAGCAGGGGACAACTACCAATGTCAATGTAATACGGTACAACTACAAATATCAATATAGTAGGGTTCAACTATCAATACCAATATAGCAGGGTACAACTACCAATAACAATATAGCAGGGTACAACTACCAATACCAATAATGTAGGGTATATCTACCAATACCAATATAGTAAGGTACAACTACCAATGCCAATATAGCAGGGTACAACTACCAATGTCAATGTAATACGGTACAGCTACCAATATCAATATAGTAGGGTTCAACTATCAATACCAATATAGCAGGGTACAACTACCAATATCAATATAGCAGGGTACAACTACCAATACCAATAATGTAGGGTATATCTACCAATACCAATATAGTAAGGTACAACTACCAATACCAATATAGTCTACCAATACCAATATAGTAGGGTAAAACTACCAACACCAATATAACAGGGTACAACTACCAATACCAATATCGTAGGGTAAAACTACCAATACCAATATAGTAAGGTAAAACTTCCAATACCAATATAGTAGGGTAAAACTACCAATGCCAATATAGTAGGGTACAACTACCAATACCAATATCGTAGGGCAAAACTACCAATACCAATATAGTAAGGTAAAACTTCCAATACCAATATAGTAGGGTAAAACTACCAATATCAATATAGTAGGGTAAAACTACCAATACCAATATAGCAGGGTACAACTACCAATATCAATATAGCAGGGTACAACTACCAATACCAATAATGTAGGGTATATCTACCAATACCAATATAGTAAGGTACAACTACCAATGCCAATATAGCAGGGTACAACTACCAATGTCAATGTAATACGGTACAACTACCAATATCAATATAGTAGGGTTCAACTATCAATACCAATATAGCAGGGTACAACTACCAATATCAATAAAGTAGGGTTCAACTACCAGTACCAATATTATACGGTACAACTACCAATACCAATATAGTAAGGTACAACTACCAATACCAATATTATACGGTACATATAGCAGGGTACAACTAACAATACCAATATAATAGGGTACAACTACCAATACCAATATAATACGGTACAACTACCAATATCAATATAGTAGGGTTCAACTACCAATACCAATATAGTAAGGTACAACTACCAATACCAATATAGTAGGGTACAACTACCAATACCAATATAGCAGACTACAACTACCAATACCAATATAGCAGGGTACAACTACCAATACCAATATAATAGGGTACAACTACCAATACCAATATAATACGGTGCAACTACCAATATCAATATAGTAGACTACAACTACCAATACAACTGTAGAAGGGTTCAAACACTTATACCAATAAGTAACTTAAGTAGACTCTACCATCCTTTTATTTAGATGAGTCCATTGTGGTCTACAGTGGTGAAAGGGTTAACTTAACTATGTGTTTTTGTTATTTTACAAATTACTTGTATATATTGTTATATCTACTTAAACACGTTTATCTCGACTTCCTGCTTATTACGAAGTCATATTTTTGTGTCCTCTCGTAAGGGATGTTCTCTTAGAAAGCAAAGTTTCAAACAATACAATATCGCAAATAACAAAAAAAAGTATCTCTTGAAGTTCGAAATAAACATGAATTGTTTTAGATTTCATTGTACATATGGTTTACGGAAAGTGCCGAAGGTTCCCGATTGATGATGACAACATACTGACCTTTGACCTGGTGCTCTTCGGTAGTGAGAACTGTCAGCAAGGATCATGCAATCAAATCCCTGGTACCATTGCAGAGGATGAAATAGATCACGGTAAGTCCGACTGTTGGTAAAGCGACATACGTTATAGAGCATCATTAATGTCAATAATAGGGACAACTATAGGAACTGAGGAGACGCCGAAACAAAAGGGTAAACAACACAACCCCCTCCCCTCCCCTCCCCCAACCCCACTCTGGTAAAGAGACATACTGTACGTTATAGAGCATCCTTAATGTCAATAATAGGGACAACTATAGGAACTGAGGAGACGCCGAAACAAAGGGGTAAACAACATAACCCCCTCCCCTCCCCCTCCCCTCCCCTACTTTAGGTGTTTTTTCTTGTTAATTAGTTCACAAATTATATATTATACTAAAATTAGATAATTACACAAAGCTTTTCAAACTTCTGGTCCAGGTCCATATAATCGTCTTATATTATAAAAAAAGGATAGTTGTTGGTATATCTAAATAACTCAAACCTTTGGATAGTCTGAGCTAGTCTTTGACGATGGTTTTCTTCACGATCATAAATATCTGCTATATTTATATTAATTCTCAAATTTAAGTAATTAATTTTTTTCCGATCCGAACAATCGCCAAACTGATTGTTTAAAAATAAGAAACGCAATAAAAAAAAATAAAAAAAATCTAAATGTTCAATTACATTTTCCTAAACAAAGAATAACAAACATTAGATATAAATCATTTATGTATAAAATATAAATAAAAAGAAGTAAAGACATGCGCTTCTTACCGCCGAGGAGGATGTAGTCTACGGTGGGACCGACGTTGTTACTGCCGGGTCTACTGATGGGAACAAACACCTCCCTGACAACGTTAGTGTTAGCCTGGTAATACACATCTTTTCTCCGATTATTCTGGGCGATGATGTACCCAATGGCACATACCAGAAGTGCAAAAAATAATTTGCTTTTCATTGTTTTGGAAATTTAATCACCAAGACTGGAGGTAAAACGACAAGACCGTGTCGTCACAATTGTCCAACAGCGAATGGTCGAATGATTCCTGGGCTGTCTTACGCTGTTATATCCGGAATGATAGGAGGCGAGGTGTTCCGAAAACAAGGAACCCTAATGTCGGCTGATTACATGTTGCAAGTGATCTCGTCAAACGAGAAAAGCGCCCGAGAGCCGGTCACGGTACAAATATAAACTATTCAGGACATGGCCCGGGGGTTTCTGTTGACCATGCGCCAATACCCGGAAATCTGTGTCGAGGAGAAGACGACAGGTGTGCATATTTTACCTGGTATGTGTAGCAATATTACGACAGATCCTTATCTGTACTGGTCACAACTAGGAATTGACCATTAACTGTTACGATACAGGCTCCAGACCAACATGCTAAAAGTGTGTAGCCAACTTATTTATATCACCGAGTCTTTAATTTTTGCAAAGTAGCAAAGTACACACAGCTTTCGGTATATACCTGGTAGTTCCCACCAAAAAATAATCATTCCTTAAATAACATCAAATACTTTTCGTGGCATAACTGCCATTTTTACAAGTACCAATTTTTGTGACTGTTTTCAATTCACGAACAGTGGTTGTCTGTTTTTTTTTTATTTGGTCTGAGAAATACTTGCAATATATATATATTTCGTTATTTTTCCTCCTGAACTAACAAGAAAACATGATTTTGATTAATGAGTGATTGACGGTATCTAGTGTAACTCATTAGTATATAGGGATTAGCTATCACGCGGACGCGGCAGTTGCTAAGGAAATCCGCCATCTTGGATCCAAGATAGGGCTTTAGCAACCACCTAAACTTACAATATAAAACTCACGGCATATTTACAATGTTTTCGAGTGTGGTATTAAATTGTGATGACCTTTTTTTCCTGTAGGAAGTGAGTGTGTCGGTGCTCTGGAAGGTGTTGGAGCAGGTGGTGTTGCGTCCTTGTTTGAACTAAAAATAAATGTTAACATGTAGACAATTTACAATAATACATTAGCTAACGGTATAATAAAAGAGTAAGGTTAGCGATTCTATTTGGACAATATACTTGCAGGGTAGTGTGCAATAACACTGACCGCTTGCACGTCGTTGGCTATGCTGCATTCTTTGCCGATGTTCTTTCCTAATGCGCTCCTTGTTGTTTGATATGTTTTTTCGTTCCTTCATGTACATATCTGTTTGGTTTTTATTGGTGTTGGTGGATGAAGTTGGATAGACTGTATAAGCTTGTCTTGTGATTCGATGATGAAGAGTGTGTCGTAAATGTCTGAGCTTGTCAGAGTCGTACGGGAAGCTGTAGATGACGTCACGGTCGTCGAACGTGACGTCACTATCATCGATCAATATCCGCTCTTTAGGATCCCCGTCCCTCCGCCTAAAAATGTAATGAGGCGTTTTTTTCTTTTTTTCTACGGCATCGCTATTGCATAACCAAATCATTTCTGAACAATAACCCATACCTTGCGGTAGTTTCTTCAGTATTTTTGGGATATTATGAAATTTCGATTTTTTATTTATTTTTATTTCAATGGAACAAAATGAAACAAAATACATTTTATTTGATGCAACAATGGTTTATTAGAAATATAACGCAAACAAAATAGTAACTATGTCAATATTGATGCACAAAACACAAAAAAACGAGTAATTTTCTGACAATAATACTAAAACAAAAAAAATGCCCGTTACATGAATCAGTAAAATTCCAAGTGCCAATGCAACACGTTCAGGACAACGAAAAGAAAATATAGGTGACAAAACATAAATATCTTGCGGACTTGCTTATTATACAAAACATTATACAGAAACAAAAAAAACTAAACAAAAAAGAGAGACAACTCTTACATTTGTACCAATGATATTAATACAATTTACAACATACAATATAAAACTTTTTTTTATATACGAAACTATAATACAGTAGGCATTACCAACCAAAATAATTACTTCAAATGTTATAACCAATATAAAACAAAATTGCACATACTGTACAAATAACATACTATGTTGTGATATAAAAAATCACATTATATACAACAATTATAAACTTTTACATTCTTAACAAAACAATAATAAACGTCCACATTATGTACAGATAACAACATACCATTTTGTGATGTAAAAAATATTACACCATATAGCAATAATAAACTTTGTCATTATATACAGATAACATCATACATAATTATATTGTGGTTGAACAAATATCACAATATATAACGATAATAAACTTGTACATTATGTACAAATAACAACATACGATATTGTGGTATAAAAACATCACATTGTAGAAATAACATTGTTGTATGTAATATAAAAAAAAATAACTTGAAATATGGGCCTATTTGGCATATACATGCAGTAACAAATATAGAATATAATCCTGACTATTGTGATGCATAAAGTACTTCCCAGGCCAAAATGTTTTTCCTGTTGGGTATTGCACAACCGTAGCCTAGTACCGCATTCCTTACAACCTTTCTGGTCCAGGTATTCATATAACATCGCGAGTTCAACCACTCGTCTACCCAGCTACCAGGTTAAAAAAAATATTGGCGTATTCGTGATCACCAGTACTGGAGGGATCCTCATCGGACGTCGGTGTCGGCTCATCAGTAAAATTGTCAGTAAGCTTAGTAGGGGTCTCAGTAGCTAGCGTCTCTTCAATGTGTGAACGAGTGTCACTTTGTTTCGTCGCATAGTCGTGGTCTAGCAGTTGATTTGGACATCATTGTTGTTATTATTGTCAGTTAATGCGTTTAGTTTACATTTAAAACGGCCGATTTTACGTCGGGCTTACATGTCGGCCATCACTGCCACGACGTTGTTTACATCGTTACGACAGCTTTTTTGCCCACATCGTTGCGATCGGAGATTGTCAACGCAAGGGACACAATTCTGTAGTCGAAACGTTATTCAAACGAAATCTATTCAAGGGAAGATAACAACATTGTCGAAATGGTAATCAGGGGCAGGTGACTCTAAAATTGAATCAAAGTACTGAAAGTACTGAAAGCTAAGGCAAAAGATATATATATATTATTTTTGGAATAGAGAACAAAATAAAGACGAAGTTCCCATCATATTGTACAGAAGGATTTACTGTTAATTTGTTATGAATCAAAGTTTTATGTAAAAGTGTACCACTGTGAAGTTATTCTTCTTGTGTGTACAGTATATCTTTATAGGTTTGTCAGAAGAGGGGTACCAAGTTTCCTCTAGAATATATCATTTTAAACCTTTGGATAATTAATTTGCATAGGAATTAGGAATTGCTTCCCTTTGTCCATACAATGTATTTCATAGAACATTAAAAACTGAAACTGGCATTTACCCCTTTGACCAATACCTGATTATTTTAAACCATTGAATAGATTATGCACAGATTGTGAACATCTTTGAACTTTGCCTTTGTTGTTGAATAAGATATCAACCCTTGCCTTATCTAACAAAGTTACTTGGCATAAAACCATTGACCAATCAGAGTACAGTATGCTAATTAATTAGGCATGGATTTCACTCAACTTTGAACTTATCGTCTAAGTTTGTATATTGATCAATATATATTCAAGCAAGTTATCTTGTAAAGTGTGCACATCGACCAGGGTTGGCATGCTTTTTAATACGTGTGAATTTTGTTCAAGTTTCAATTTTGCATCAGTCAGTGTATATTGTTACAGAACAATATTTATAAGGATGTTTACTTGCCGAAACTAAATTGTGGATAAGCAAGTGGATTACTGCTACCCATAAATTTACAAGTCTCTCAATAATTTTGAAAAACTTTTAAATAAAGTGTTTTACATATTCACTGCAGTGAAAAGGTCTCTTCTTATGAAAAATGGAACTATTTTGAATCTGTGTTCCCATGAACAAATAATATAAAAAGCACTCTAATTCAATATGATACATTGTTGTATGTTTCAATATTGAATAAGATAAACAAAATATAAACATACATACTCACACACACACACAAGATTAGGAGAGTTACATTATTTTCCCTCTATTTCCATTGCATAAATTCTTCACAAAGAAAACAACAACTTTATAGCATATGTTCAGCTTTATCATCTTCATAGGCTAGCATTTGAAATAAGATGCACATATTAATTTCAAATACATTTCAAAAGAGTACTGCAAATGTACCAGCTAGAACACATACTATGTTATTACAGTTGTCATGATTGTTGGTTTCAGAACTGATAGCATTGTGCAACAAATGTTGACAACAGGACTTATTGAAAGTTGAGGTTGCTTGTGTATATGCAAACAGGTAGTGCATGATTTAATGTTGAGAATGATGGATCAAGGTTTATAAAATTTGGTTTGAATACTTAGTTAGGAATGCACTGACAATTTCTCTGTCACATGTACATGAACAGGTTGTGAAGCTGTAGCCTTCACCTTGACTGAATGAAATTGACCTTAAAACTGTCTTGAACAATTGATGTATGAAATTTAGAAATGAAGTTTCAAGAAATATGGTTGAAAACTTAAGAAATAATTGCTTTCATTGACATTGATACAATCTTGTGTGCTATCCCTCTCATATATCACACAAGATTTAATATCAAATGTTGGACACAGTAAAATCGAGCGAAGTTAACAAATATCAAGTTACATATTATAACTTTTATTTTATTTTATTGATATTGATCATAAGCATTGTTAAAAGTACAATGTATACCAGGGATCTTACATTTCTTTTACTACTTAACATTTGCGTTGACTTTTAATTCATTGGACAAAAACTAAAAGGAAGCCATGACCAGTATTTCTATCTTTAAAAACATACTTTTAATTTTTTTTCCAATTTGCTCCCACCACCCATAGTGTTATATTGATCAAAACAAACGTTGTTTCCAACATTTGTGCCCTTAGTCAGTAGTGGGTGTTCAATCACATTCATCAGGGTTTCAGCATCAAGTAGGGGCTGTTCAATCACATTCATCAGGCTTTCAGCATCAATATTCACAGATTCAATCTGTTCCAAGTAAAGATCACTGACTTCTCCATTAAGGAAAAGTTTGCGAGGAAAGCATTTGAACTACATTTGAACTATTCGCTGATGGAAGGATCTGTGGACTCGGCTTTCATGTGTCTGAGAGAAAATGATTTAGTCAGAGGTTCCTCCTCTA